ATCCCTTCACCCTCAGCCCGTGTTCTTTCCACCGTAGCACGGGGAAGCAGCTCCTATCTGGTCATTCCCACCTCCCCAGTTCTGAAAGAAAAAAGACAAAAAAAAAAAAAAAGCCGTGGTGAGATGTAGATGGGTTGGGCCAAGTTGCAAACAGTAACAGCCTAAGGATCAGGTGGAAAATCACAACCTGATCTCTACAGCCCTTTGGCCGGCTTGGAGTTTGTTTTCCTTTGATGTTCCGAGGCAGGGTTTCTTAGAGCGGGTTTGCCGGGATTCCTGAGATGAGGTGCTTCCTACTGAATAGGAATCTCTGGGAGGAGAGCCCCCAGAATCTCCATATTGAACTTGTGCCCCGAGAGCTTTTGATGCACGCTGAAACATGGAGTGGGAGTCGCTGCCCTAGGGGTAGTATTTCACCACATGCCCACACCGCTCAGGACCTCACACACAGCAGGCAGTCTGTCAATGGCTTTCACAGCCTGAATGCAGAAGCGTGGTGGTGCTGCAGAAAGAAGCACAGTCACAGTGAGACCTTAGGCAGGTCTTTTCCTTTAAGATCCTCTGTTTCCACCTCTGAAGGTGGGAGGGAACCATTCTGGCCTTAACATTCCATTCATTTATAAATGAATCCAGGAAGAGGGTCTCTTAAACTTGCTCTTATGAGTCACTTGGCGAGATGGGGTGAGGAGTGGAGCTGACATCGACATAAACCATTTCTTAGGAAGAAATGGTAGGAGCCTAGTGCAGTCCCATCTGGCCCTGAGAGTGTGGCCTGAAAGCTGACTAGGAGCCCCCACTGAAATATGAGCATTTGCCCATCGTGATTGTTGACTATGGCCGAGGTTGTGTGCTAGGTGCTGCTGGGATGAGGATGGATGTGAGGTAGAGGAAAGATTAAGATATTACTATGGGCCTAATCGCTGCTCTGAAGAAGCTCCTAGCTTGGTATTAAAACTCAACTGCTTTCCCTAAGTCCCACAGGCCAGTCTAGAAAGTGGGTTCCAGACAGTGTGGGGGAAGGCCTTTGGTTATTTAGCTGTTCAAATGCATTCCCTATCTAGGGCCTGTTGGCCACTTGGAACAATCAGAAATCCTGCCTCCTGGGGGAGAGGCAGGTTGTTAGAATTGCGGTGTGTAGGTCAGGCTACTGGCCTGGTTGGCCCCAGTGTCTGGGGATGGCAATTGAGCTGGCCCGGGTGAGGGATATGGCAGCAAGGAGTTGCTCAGCAATGACCATCTGAAGGAGCAAAGGTGTCTAAGCAAAGAAGGCTTAGACAATGCCACAACCCAGGGACAATCTCAGAGGCAAGCATCTTCCAAGTCAGGGACTATGGGAAGTGAGGGGTTTCCTGGAGGGATCTGCCCTACCCACACCCACCTACACTCCCATCAAGTTGGAAGGAATTCATGTCTAGGATGAGTGAATCCTTTCAGTCTGGTGGGCTGGCCTCTGTGTGGGCCATGCTGCCCATGTCTCAGAGGGCTTCTGAGGGCAGAACTGGCAGGTGTTGAGCTAACGTGTTCAAACGATAGGCACCACCGGAAACTGAGGAAGCTGGAGGTGGTTTTCTACACTACGGTTGGGCTCTTGACTTAGCTAAAAAGCCATTTTGTAGTTTGAGGGTGCTTCCTGTCTTGATTAATAGCTGTAAGGAAATCCAGTCACCAGAGTCCAGACCAGCTGAGAAAGAGGGCTATTTTGCTCCATCTAGGCTGAGAGTATCTGGTATCATAGACACAAGAGGGTAAGCCCTGGGGTGCCAGCAGAATGACCTGTTTCCACACACTGACCAGTCTCCAGGCAGTAGGTACTCTCTCTCCACAGCGATTCGCAAGATGAACTTCTCGTGTCCTTAGAACAGGAAGGAGAACTGGTGCCAGCTTACTCCCAAATCCTAAATGTCTCTCTAGTCCCCTCTAGTTTCTTCTTTTCTCTCCTCTCTTCCCCTCCCGTCTCCTCCATGCCCCACCTCTTTCCCCTCTATATCTCCATTCCCTTTCCCATGTTTCAGAAAGGTGGCATGGTGCAGTGGAAAGACCATGGGCTTTGGAGTCAAGCAGACCTGAGTTCGAATCTCAACTCTAGCACTTCTAGCTGTGTGATCTTGAGCAAATCACTTTTCCTTTCTGAACATCAGTTTCCCCATCAGTGAAATAGGACAAGTACCGACCTTGTTGGGGTGTAAGGATCAAACTATATGGAGAAGGACAGGGTCTGGCACATGGTATATATCCAGTACATGGGAGGAGCAATTACCATTATTTCTATCTCTTTGTTTCTCTCTCTCTCTCTCTCTCTCTCTCTCTCTCTCTCTCTCTCTTTCTCTCTCTCTCTCTCTCTCTGTCTCCTCTCTCATTGTCCCTTTCTCCTTTTCCCTTCTTCTTTCCCTCCCTCCCTCCTTGGCTCAGTCTACATCTCAGGGCAATGCTTGCTGCTCTCAAGACTGGTTCCTGCGGGCAGGAACCCCATTTGCCATTAATGAGAGCAGGGGTCCCCAGTGAGGAAGAACAGGGGGAAAGCTTCATCTCCCATTTTCTCCTGTGGGAATCAGGGTCAGCTGAGGCCCAGCTTGAGTCTGCCCACTGGGCCCCAGTAGCTCATGCCTGGGGACCCTGGAACACATCTCTGCCCTAAATACCTACCTCACAGTGATATTCACACATGCCAGCAGTGTTCCCCTCACCCTCAGTGCCTGCCTCTGCCCTCCAGCTCAACCTGCCTGTGTACACATGCACAGCCCCTTCCGCCCAGAAGGAATCCTTTCCCTGAATGAGTCTCTGGCTCTGTGCCCAGGCCCACCTGCTGCTACCTCCTTCCTACCTGGGAAGGTAGTTGGTTGAGATGGGCTCTTGGGGACAGGGAGGCGGGGCAGGGAGGTGCAGGGAGGCCAGCACAGCAGGGGCCTGCAACACCATCATCCTGATGAAGGTCTGGGCCTCAGCCCACCCATTCCCTCAGTTCTTGCCATCCCTCCTGCCTGTCCTGGGCCCAGGCCCAGAGCTGGCTTGCTGGGCCACACTGCAGTCATGCTGTTTTTGAATTCTCTCTCTGTTTTGTTCTCTGTTCTGTGCTGTTGTGTCTCCCCGTGTCTGGTCCCCAGGATCCGGCGCTAAGAAACAGGGCGAGGACTTAGCGGATAATGACGGGGATGAAGATGAAGGTATTTGGGGGCTGCAGGGCGCGGCGGCTGGTGCATGGCACAGAGCCCCTCCCCTTCTCGGTCTGTCCGGCCGTTGGTGTGTTTCTGTTCCTGTACAAGGCCGTTGGGCCGTTCATCCGTCTTTGGCCTCACTGGCCACTGGGAGTTCCGGGGCAATGGACGCGGCTGGCCGGAGCAGGGAACCACAAGCAGAGCCCTGGGAGGGCATTCTCCTCAGCCTGGCCCCCACCCTCTCCCGTCTGCGTGGTTCATGGGCACCTGCCTCGGCTGAGCAGCAGGGACAGCGGAGAGAAGGCAGGACCAGGGGAGGCAGGGGGAGGGCCCGAGCATTCCCTATCTAGGGCCTGTTGGCCACTTGGAACAATCAGAAATCCTGCCTCCTGGGGGAGAGGCAGGTTGTTAGAATTGCGGTGTGTAGGTCAGGCTACTGGCCTGGTTGGCCCCAGTGTCTGGGGATGGCAATTGAGCTGGCCCGGGTGAGGGATATGGCAGCAAGGAGTTGCTCAGCAATGACCATCTGAAGGAGCAAAGGTGTCTAAGCAAAGAAGGCTTAGACAATGCCACAACCCAGGGACAATCTCAGAGGCAAGCATCTTCCAAGTCAGGGACTATGGGAAGTGAGGGGTTTCCTGGAGGGATCTGCCCTACCCACACCCACCTACACTCCCATCAAGTTGGAAGGAATTCATGTCTAGGATGAGTGAATCCTTTCAGTCTGGTGGGCTGGCCTCTGTGTGGGCCATGCTGCCCATGTCTCAGAGGGCTTCTGAGGGCAGAACTGGCAGGTGTTGAGCTAACGTGTTCAAACGATAGGCACCACCGGAAACTGAGGAAGCTGGAGGTGGTTTTCTACACTACGGTTGGGCTCTTGACTTAGCTAAAAAGCCATTTTGTAGTTTGAGGGTGCTTCCTGTCTTGATTAATAGCTGTAAGGAAATCCAGTCACCAGAGTCCAGACCAGCTGAGAAAGAGGGCTATTTTGCTCCATCTAGGCTGAGAGTATCTGGTATCATAGACACAAGAGGGTAAGCCCTGGGGTGCCAGCAGAATGACCTGTTTCCACACACTGACCAGTCTCCAGGCAGTAGGTACTCTCTCTCCACAGCGATTCGCAAGATGAACTTCTCGTGTCCTTAGAACAGGAAGGAGAACTGGTGCCAGCTTACTCCCAAATCCTAAATGTCTCTCTAGTCCCCTCTAGTTTCTTCTTTTCTCTCCTCTCTTCCCCTCCCGTCTCCTCCATGCCCCACCTCTTTCCCCTCTATATCTCCATTCCCTTTCCCATGTTTCAGAAAGGTGGCATGGTGCAGTGGAAAGACCATGGGCTTTGGAGTCAAGCAGACCTGAGTTCGAATCTCAACTCTAGCACTTCTAGCTGTGTGATCTTGAGCAAATCACTTTTCCTTTCTGAACATCAGTTTCCCCATCAGTGAAATAGGACAAGTACCGACCTTGTTGGGGTGTAAGGATCAAACTATATGGAGAAGGACAGGGTCTGGCACATGGTATATATCCAGTACATGGGAGGAGCAATTACCATTATTTCTATCTCTTTGTTTCTCTCTCTCTCTCTCTCTCTCTCTCTCTCTCTCTCTCTCTCTTTCTCTCTCTCTCTCTCTCTCTGTCTCCTCTCTCATTGTCCCTTTCTCCTTTTCCCTTCTTCTTTCCCTCCCTCCCTCCTTGGCTCAGTCTACATCTCAGGGCAATGCTTGCTGCTCTCAAGACTGGTTCCTGCGGGCAGGAACCCCATTTGCCATTAATGAGAGCAGGGGTCCCCAGTGAGGAAGAACAGGGGGAAAGCTTCATCTCCCATTTTCTCCTGTGGGAATCAGGGTCAGCTGAGGCCCAGCTTGAGTCTGCCCACTGGGCCCCAGTAGCTCATGCCTGGGGACCCTGGAACACATCTCTGCCCTAAATACCTACCTCACAGTGATATTCACACATGCCAGCAGTGTTCCCCTCACCCTCAGTGCCTGCCTCTGCCCTCCAGCTCAACCTGCCTGTGTACACATGCACAGCCCCTTCCGCCCAGAAGGAATCCTTTCCCTGAATGAGTCTCTGGCTCTGTGCCCAGGCCCACCTGCTGCTACCTCCTTCCTACCTGGGAAGGTAGTTGGTTGAGATGGGCTCTTGGGGACAGGGAGGCGGGGCAGGGAGGTGCAGGGAGGCCAGCACAGCAGGGGCCTGCAACACCATCATCCTGATGAAGGTCTGGGCCTCAGCCCACCCATTCCCTCAGTTCTTGCCATCCCTCCTGCCTGTCCTGGGCCCAGGCCCAGAGCTGGCTTGCTGGGCCACACTGCAGTCATGCTGTTTTTGAATTCTCTCTCTGTTTTGTTCTCTGTTCTGTGCTGTTGTGTCTCCCCGTGTCTGGTCCCCAGGATCCGGCGCTAAGAAACAGGGCGAGGACTTAGCGGATAATGACGGGGATGAAGATGAAGTGATTTGAGGGCTGCAGG